GGGGGTGAAGGGAGGGAAGAGGTTCAGGCTGGTTATGGACCAGAATAAAATTTTATTGAAAGAAATTCGTTTATCGATAACGCATGAAATGAAGATAACCACGTAGATACAGTGGGCGAGAGAGCGCTCGAAGGTGTATTTCGAAGTTTCCGAGAGCCGTTTTCGTAACCACTTAAATCATAATTTTAAACAATCGATTGAGTCGAATGCCATCGAATGTCTGTCGAAATCTTTTTGAAAGAGAGCCGGTCAGAGGAAACATTGAGCCGTACGCATTTTGCATGCGAATTGAAGAGAAGGCAAGGAGAGAAAAAGGAAGTAGAAAGAGAGAACGTAAATTGAGTAGGATACATCTTTATTTGTTTCATTATGTCCCACCATTCCCCGCCTACCTTTTTACCGCTTGTTTTACCTGTACAGTTGATTCCGTTGCCTCGAAAGCCATCTTTACAAGTGCACTCGTAGGAGCCATCCATGTTATTGCACAGAGCGTTCTTGTCACATGCTGTGGGGTCTCGCTCACACTCATTAATATCTGTCATCAACAAAAGTAAGCCCAATCATTATCAGGGTCTATTCAAACAAATGAACCATTTGACCTTGCAATGTTTGAATGAACGTAACCTAATTATTTAAAACACTAGTCAATTAATGAATAGATGAACTGATAGCTTGTCTACGATGAATCGCCTATTCCAGGCGTTCAGATCGGAAGCAGTAACGCAATAACCAATGGTCCACCCCTAAATAAAAAGGAAAAATCAAAGACGATAAGTAGCCTTTGTCCTTTTTTCTTCCAACGTTTTGCCTCGCTCTGCCGGTATTATTTCGACGCTGCATACTTACAGAACGCCAGGAAGTAACTAGCTAAAAGAGCATGAGAAGAGGGCCAAATACGACGGTCAAATGCGACCGTCCATTCAATTTCCCGTAACGACTTCAATCTCGATTGTAGAGTTGTCAGTATTCGAAGTTTGAAGATTTCACGAAGAGATAATCGTCTCTTTCACGGAAGAATTAAAAAAAAAAACGAGTGAGTATAGGAACGGTAAATTGTACGTCTGGTACACAACACAACATCAAACAAGACCAGCACGTCCCAATTTAAGATCATGTTGACCCTTCAATTGACGCCGATCATTTTATAATTACCTTTACAACTTGTTCCATTTCCTGTAAAACCAGCCTTACAAGCACAGATGAAGGAGCCCTCGGTGTTTAAACAGTCAGCATCAACATCACACTCAGTCAACTCCGCCGCACATTCATCAATATCTATATCGAATGAACTGGTTAGCTGGATAATGAAACCGGAATCGCTGGAATCTCTGCTTATTAACCAGTGACAGAGAAGTGGGTGACAAAAGACGACAATTTTTTGTCGTCCCTTTGAAATGTTCCTCCTCCGCTGTAGCGCAACTGGTTCTTCACCTCATGGTTGAATTTTGACCATGTTTTTGTGGATTGGAATCCCTTGTGTCTCAGGGTGACAGAGAGCGATTTTCAGATATGGAAAACCTTGGATAACGATGGTCCAGAGTATAGACAAAGTAACACGAATTGGAAATGATTTGAAAAATGAACGCTATTTTTATTTGAAGATACACAGATCACGTCTAGACCGTTAGCTTTTCGTGGTTTAACCTTTATATAAACAAACAAAGAAGGTTTTTTTTCTTTTTTTTTGCATGAAAGATTAGCCTTAAGGAATGTCTTAATTCATGACAAAATCTCACTTTGCCTGGATGCCAATAACACATTGTATGTTTAAGAGTTAAACCCGTTTAAATCATTTTTTCATTGATCTTGTTTTCTTTGCCTTCAGTAAGCAAATAACCTTTGTTAGACAGGGCAGCCCATTCGGCCCTAAGGCTAAGATGCAGGGGCCTGGTGACTAACAGTTAAACAGATTAATTCATTAAAAGGACCAACAAACAAAGACGACCAGCCTGCTCCTTCTATCTCGCCCCTAATGTTCTAAGACGATCATTCCCTCGTTTTTTCCGCGTGCAATTCCTATTGTCAGGCATCATGGCCAGTATACCTGGTGTGCGTAACATGTTGTTTTTCGTAAGTTTGAGCGTTGCGGCTGAGAACAAACTCGATCTCAACTGTGCAACTCGTGTTCACAACTCTGCCAAATTCCTTTCTATCAAGCAAACACAAAACCCCGAATGATACAACAGACTAACCTGTGCAAAATGTGTTGTTTCCAGTAAACCCTGCTTTGCACGTGCAGTTGTACGAGCCTTCTGTGTTCACACACTCTGCTTTGCTGGGGCAGTCGGCTGTTTCAGCCTTACATTCGTCGATGTCTAATATGACATGGACAAAAATTCAAATGGAAAGTTTATTTTCCACACTCGATAGGAAGCAGTCGTGAGTCAGTCAGACGGTCGGACGGTCGGACGGTCGCCGGACCATTTCATCAATCAATTCCCAGGTCAGTCAGTCCGTTTTTCAGACAGTCAGTTAATCGGTTAGAAAGCGATTTCGACAGTCAGTACCTTAGTTATTCCATCAGCCAATCAGCAAATCAATCAACAAATCAGTGAGTCAGTCAATCTGTCAATTCGTCCGTCCGTCCGTCCGTCCGTCACTCAGTGAAACAGCTTTTGGATCATTAATTTACGCCAAGCTACACAGTGCATCAGGTCGCTACGCTCGTCCAACTTGATTACCTACAGATGTGCCATACGTGCTTTGAGAAGTTGACCAAGATACCAAACAGCCATTTAAAATGTTAAACTTTCTCATACCTAGACAAACATCACCCAAGCGTGCGAATCCAGATTTGCAGGTGCACTGGTATTTGCCATCTACTTCTAGACATTCCTCGTTACCAGAGCATGGCCTATCACAAACACCCACAGCTGAAAAGAAAATCAATAATAAGACAAATTTCTTGACTTCTATAGAACTCGGACATAAACTAGCTATTATTTTGTTCATAAAACAAATGACGATCGATTGCCTTAAGCGCCCGCTTCCAATTTCTGTTGTCCCTTCATCTCTCCCCCTCGCAAAATAGACAACCCTTACTTTTCACTGTTTGCTTCACTCGACAGCGCAAGATATTTTAGGTTACATCTATGAATAAAACGTACACGAAAATGTTTAATTTTATCTAATTTCCAAATTAATATCATTTTTAACAATTTAGAAGTGGGAAGTTTCTCAGTCGTACGTGCAGATTTCTTTCTCCAATATGTATTCATGTACACAAAACTAAAAGTTCGCTCCAACTCAAATATATCAATATAACCAACCGATGCAGGTCGTTCCATTTCCAGTATAACCAGGATTACAGGTGCAGCTAAACAAGCCATCAGTATTAGTGCAATATGCATTGGGATCACAGTCGGAAAGTCCCTCAGAACATTCGTCCAAATCTGTCGAAATGCAGGACAATGTCGCATTAGGAACTGTGAATAACATCTGCTCTGGTCTAGAGATCTAGTCGTGACTCGTGCTTTACCAATCTATGTTAATAACTAACACTTAGCCGAAAGACCCAACAAACCTTTACCTTTACCAAGAGAATGACAGAAGAACGGTTACGTATTTCTTACTCACCTTGAAGCAGGGTGTAGTTGGCTCTTCGATTTAGAAGCACGTTCCATTTGCATTGATTAAATACACAGACATATTGTCATACAAACGCTAAAAAATTCTTGTCGTTATTTGTTCTCCGATCTGAATCTCCCTTTAACTTCCTTACTCTTGGCGAGGTTACGTAACAAAGCAATAAGTACAGGGTAATAAATGAGAGCCCACAGGTGAAAGTTTACTTCAGTTACAATCTCGTAGAACTCAAATTTACTTATACAGTTGTTTGTGACAAACCTGTGCAGTCTCCTGTCTCGTTTCTTCGGTATCCCTCAACACATCTGCAGCTGTACGATCCGTCAGTGTTCACGCAGTCCGAGTTTGCGGGACAACTAGCTGAGCCGTCCTCACACTCATCGACATCTGGAAAAACAAAACGATTAGCTCAAACCTTTACACCCTAACATCAGTATGCATATTCTCCATACTGTTCTGTATACATTTCCTAAGGTGCTGTCAAGGAGAATTTGTTTAACAATCAAGAACTTCTTTAGTTGGTTAAACCTATCGTTTCATCTCGTTTGTGATTCAGGGTGATATTGTAAGGAGAAATTAGATGCTGTTCATTCTATGGGGCTGAAGTGTAAAAAAAAGATAGCTTAAACTTGAAAACGTTATGAACAATACAAGTAAACTTCCATTGAGTTTGAAAATCCTGCTGCAATCTTAATATCATAGATGTCAGTGTTAGAGTTAAGCTCATAACTCTGAACAGGTATTAACCCAGCACTCGAGAGTGAGTAAAAAAATTTTGCTTCCAGCTATGTGCCTTCAAAACTACTAACCTCCACACGTCCTTCCATCTCCCTCATATCCTTTTTTACATCTACAAACATACAATCCAACCGTGTTGGAACACATGGCGTTAACGTGACAGGTCGCTTCTCCTGTAATACATTCGTCAACATCTGTGTCACAAAAAAATGGACTCGTTAGTGAGAGATCTACCACCAAAACTTGCTTAATGTGATTTCACTATTGGCAAAGTTGAAAAAATGGTATAACGGGACCTTTTTAGGTTTCCAAGAGGTCAAAATCGTGTAATAAATGGAATGGATAGGTATGTCATAGCCGAACATTTTCAAACACACGCCATAATTAAGAGGTAGCTAAACAAACACTACCGCGTAAGTTGAAAAACGAGAGCAAATTGCTGACATCTAGATTTTTGTCTAGATTTTTTAGTATTTTTTTGGGGGTGGGGATGTTAAATCAGGTCAATCAAAGATAAAAGACAAAAGATCACCTCGACAATCGCCAGCCACTCCAGTATAACCTAAGGCGCAGTTGCACGAGTATGATCCAATCGTGTTCACACACACTTCATCAGCACCGCACGTGTCGTTAGTCTGTCTGCATTCGTCGCGATCTGATAGAAATCAAGTTTTGTTTAGGATAAATGCAGGGTAATATGTTATGGCAACCCATATATTCGTATTATTTCTGTTTTTCAAAGTACAGGCTTAGTTAAATCCATACCTACACATGTAAGACCATCACCGTCAAAACCCCGGATGCAACGACACACATAACTTCCAAAGGTATTGGAGCACATCGCGTTAGCATGGCAGACGTTTTCAACACTTTCGCATTCTTCGATGTCTGAGGAAAAAAAAGACAGTCATTACCATCTCTATTAAAATTATTTAAAAGCTTGGTTAATTAAGAAAAAAATATTCTACGCCAGCCGGTGGCCCACTCCTCTCAGGCATGCATCAGGCTACCGGGACAGTTCTTTGGCACTCATTCATATCTGGGTGTAAAGAGGCACCGTGCGAGTAAACGCCTCCATCCAGGGTTACTAAACGGATTTGGGGTCAAACTATCATTGTATCTTCCTACCTGTGCAGTTCTTTCCATCTCCTTCATATCCTTCCACACAATTACAGACATAGGATCCTTCGGTGTTGTTGCACACAGCGTTGGGCGAGCACTCGTTTAGCTCGTTACTGATGCACTCATTAACATCTACAAGTTTAGAATTCAAAACATCATAAGGGTGGTGAATCCATGTTATCTGAATGACTTATAACAGCTTTCATTAAAGGATTCGGAAAATTAGAAATAGAAAATTCATTTGACTCTTAATCTGTTTTAAACATGCTAACCTCCGCATTGGCTACCGTCTCCTTGGAAACCAGTGTTACAAACACACACACGGCGCTCATCCTGATCCTGACAACTTGCGTTAGGATCGCAGGATGGGGAGCAACCTGACACAACACCTAAAGGAGTACAGAGAATGAGTTAATAAATGTTTCGATGGCAAAACTCGATTGCCCATAAAACATGTGGACGGGAGTGTTTAGTCGAGAACTAAAACACTCGTAGAAATAACACCACCATCCGGGAGCCGAGTGACGTATTTTTCCCATGTAACACGAGGGGTCATTTTGAGTAATGACGTCACGATTCCCGCCTTTTCAAATTTTGCTGAATTAAGTAGGTTTGTTTGTTGTTTGTTTCAATGACCACCTTATATTCTCTCGCCACTGTGTAATATCCTCCTTATTTACCTGTGCAGTTTCTTCCATCGCCCTGGAATCCATTGAGACAGAGACAAGTATACGACCCGTTAGTGTTGGTACACTCAGCGTTGGGATCACACTGGTTTGTTTCGGAGTTTGCGCATTCGTCGATGTCTATGATTAATAAAAGTGTTGTTTTTCTCAGATTCAATTCTTGGACGTAACCTACACAATTTTAAAAGCGAACTATAGACCAGAGTCCCTACGACCAAATTAAGTAGCGTTTGTGACCTCACGCGGAGTTAACGAATTATCACGCATAGAGGATTGATGGTCAAAAGATTTAACTTTGAAATAAGCTAAAAGAGATTTAAAAAGGAGTCAAATAGCTTCTACTATAAACGAGCTTTCATTTATCTATATGTACCGGGATTATCTTCGGTTAACCACGTCTGAAGAGACCATCTTCCACACGGCACCTATGACACGCAGTTTGCATTGAAGAGTATTAAGGCAATCGCGAGATTGTAAGGGTGAGTTACAAGCAAAAAAAAAAGACTAATACAGTTACCTTGACAACTTCCTGCCTCCCCACTGTACCCAGGGGCGCAACTGCATGTATAAGAACCAACCGTATTAACACACACTTCATTAACTGCACAGGCGTCATTCTCGGCACATTCATCGAGATCTGTGAAGGAAAGCACAAGCATAAAGAATGAAGAGAAAGTAAATACGGTTAAAAGTAAATATGTAAACAAGGAGAAAAGGGTAGCCTTGACCTGGCCCTTTGCCCCGTCACCATCAAAACCCCGAGTGCACCGGCACAAGGAGCTTTCCGGGGTGTTGGATCAGATCGCTGGCGTCGCACGAGATTCTCCATTTTTAAATTTGTCGACAAAGGACAAAGTTGGAGGAAACACATACCAGCGTGTGCTCAACTTTTTTGACCTGAGATTTCAATAGATTTTAGCCCAAGGATAGAGGAGACTTGGCGGCGGAGAACATTTTAACAAAGGTAAATATTCAGGGGGAAATCCCTACCTGTACAAGACCTGCCATCTCCAGTATATCCCTTTACACAGCGACAAACATAGGATCCTTCAGTATTGCTGCATAACGCGGAAGGAGAGCACTCATTGGCGTCGGGTTCTTCGCATTCATCGATATCTAGGTTGAAATAAACGTTGAAAGAAGATCCTATGTGATTTCTTGAAAGAAGCAATAACACTTTAAATGTAAGACTTGCAACAAAACATGTCATTCAATAAGAAAAGGGGAAACCTTAGAACTTGAATTTGTTTTAGAGCGATGCGCTCACCCCTAATAGAGCTCAATATCATCAGCCTTTCGACAATAACTCTCTGACAACCTCACACTCAATTATCTTCTATTCTTGAAGTGAACATCTTACTTTCTCGTGTTGGCAATTCAAGTTTTTAGATCGCTAGATGAAATAAAAGCAAACCTTTTCGGTTGACTGCACTAAGAGAACAAGAACACGTTCGTTACTGAAAATGAGTAAAAATGACTGACTTAATATTGATATAAATTAATGAAATTCAAAAATTCAAAAACATATTAACCTGTGCAGGTGCTGCCGTCACCCTGATATCCATCTCGACAGCGACAGACATAAGACCCTTCACTGTTGGTACACCGCGCGTTCGGATCACACTTGTTTGTTTCTGGACTTGTACATTCGTCGATGTCTGTAATTAGAACAAATCATGCTTTCCAATTTAAGCCCTATAAATGTGAATAATATAAGCGAGAAACATAAGGAAGACTAAGATAGTTACCTTGACAACTTCCTGCCTCCCCAGCATACCCAGGGGCGCAACTGCACGTATAAGAACCCGCCGCATTGACGCACACTTCATTAGCTGCGCAGGTGTCATTTTGGGCACATTCGTCGAGATCTGTGGAGGAAAGCACAAACTCGAGGTAAGTCACGGTTTAAATAATAATAATAATAATAATAATAATAATAATAAAAAGAACTGAAAATCAAATTAAATCAAGTAAAAGTAAATCTATAAACTGGGGAGAAAGAGAAGCCTGGGCCTTTCCTGGCCTGTAGACATCGACGTCCACAGAAAGACAAAAACAAAATTGGAGATAACGCATCCAAGCGTGCAGATGACTTTATATTGCTTTAGATTTGAAAACAAGGATAAAAGATGCTACGAGGTGGAGAACATTTTGACAACAGGTAAACATTAACTGGCAAATCCCCACCTGTACAAGTCCTTCCATCTCCTGTATACCCTCTAAGACAGCGACAGATATAGGATCCTTCAGTATTGTTGCATACAGCGTTTGTAGCGCACTCATTGGCGTCGGGTTTTTCGCATTCATCAATATCTACGTGTAAATGACGTTAAGAGAAGATCCTTAGTGCAATCATTGCGATTCCCCATTTCGTTTAACACTGAGAAGAAAATTTCTCGGCAGAAGATGAGATAAATTAATACTGAGAAACGTCACAAAGTGATTGCAAATCAAAGGGTAAGGGAATCTTTACCTGTGCAACTTTTCCCGTCGCCTCTGTATCCTTCTCTGCAGCCCCAGGTGTAAGATCCCTCGCTGTTGCTGCATAGTGCGTTAGGAGCGCATTGGTTTGTTTCAGGGTTGAAACATTCGTCGATATCTGCAGTCAAGGGTCGACATTAGAAAAGCAAAAAAGCTAAGAACTCTTTTAAAATGAAAAAGAAGCTAAATGCCATTGGTCTGATTACACTGATAGAATTCCAAAGTGTGGCTCAAATCGTAACATTACCTTTGTTTTTTAGGGGAAATATTTACCTGAGCAGTCTCTCCCATCTCCTTTATATCCAATGTCACAGCGACAGACATATGAGCCGTCTGTATTATTGCACACAGCGTTGGGATCACACTCATTTGATTCAGAAGGTACGCACTCGTCAACGTCTGCATTTGTGATTAAAAATTTGATGAGATGATTCACTTTTCATCCTGATTTGATTGGAAATTATAATAATTCGACCGTTTTACTACACTAAAAATCTGACAACGTTCGTCACTGCTGATTTATCAATTCCATGTTTCTTTTCGACTCATACTCATATAACATTGAAAGAATCGCAATGCGAGGTTAAGTAAGCGTTAACGACAGCCTAAGTGGCCTAGGTATATGACGAATACTGCGTATTAAGTGCACTGGACATACTTCCGCATACGTAGTATAGTGTGCATGCAGAAAAATAAACTGTGGCTTGTCACTCTGACATGCTCAAATATAGAAAATCTGATCGCGTATTCTGGTTCTAGGTTCCCAGCATCGTCACTTTAATGGATGATCACGTGTAGATAGCTTCAAAATGAACTTCAAAAAACGTGATGGAGGTGAATTCCAAGGTTTACCTATTTTATAATAATTGCAACCCTTTCGTATAACTGCATTTAGAAAACAAGAACGCGTCCCTAAGAATGTGAGAGAAGAAGACTGACATATGATTGATGTCAATGTATTGATTGGAAACGGGTAAAAACGAACTTACCGCTGCAGGTGTTTCCGTCACCCTGATATCCATTACGACAGCTACACACATATGAACCTTCACTCTTGGTACACCGAGCGTTCGGGTCACACTCGTTTGTTTTTGGACTTGGACATTCGTCGATATCTGTAATTGGGAATGAATCGAGTATTTCAAGGTGAGCTCATACAAACAAAATAAACTTGGTGATATGTGGGCGGGCGAATGCATTTCCGTGAAGTCGCAGAAATGAACGAAAAGCGAGAAATAAAATCGCTTAAGTGGCCTTTTAACATTTTTCCCTTCATTCTTTTTAATCCATTTTACAAGGAAGACGAACACACAATTCGCCTTTAAATTAAGAAGAAAATAACCTTGGCAATTTCCTGCGTCTCCAGTGTACCCAAGAGCGCAATTGCAAGTGTAAGATCCTACGGTGTTAACACAGTTTTCATTAACTGCACATGTGTCGTTCTTTGCACATTCGTCGCGATCTGTTAGGGGAAGTATAACCAAGAGTGAAAAGCGATCATTACAGCAAATACATTTCGAAAAACACTGATAAGGGATCAAATCTGTTTACCGTAAGGCCTATTTCCCATTTAAACTGCCTTCTCTTAACTTGTCAATAACATTGCGTTACTAAAATTGCACCGTAAATATGGGTTTTGAATTTCTTACGAAGTATATGCAGCAATAGCAAGCCTGTTAATGTTATCATACACATCTAATAACTACTCTCTTGAAAATAAGGAGAACAGTTACCAAGACATGAATGGCCGTCGCCATCAAAACCCAGGTTGCAACGACACACGTAGCTCCCATCCGTGTTGAAGCACAAGGCGTTTGCATCACATGAGCTGTTTCCATTTTGGCATTCGTCGATGTCTGTAAGAAATTTTAGTCATCATGTAATCAGGGATATAAAGAAAAGAGTCATTTTTACTCTCTACCCGACTTACGCCAAGGTGTACAGCGAGAAGTGGGAGAAGCGAGACGGGATCACTCCTTCTTCAGATTAATGCTCTCCGTTCTGGTCGGTTCGTAGTATCTTTCCTCCTGGCCCTAATTGCACGAAGGTTGGATAACCCTATCTACTGGATAAATCTTTATTCCAGTGGACAGCGCAGTACGTTTTGCTATCACTTATCCGCTGGATGGCAATCTATCCTTTGGATAGCGTTATCTACCCTGTATACAACTGGGCCCTGAAAGCTCACTTTTCTGGCACTACGTATGTAGCGTTTACGGCGACCAAAATCTTAATTCTCAAGTTCAAGGGCGTGTCGCTCCAAAACGCGGTTAACGAGGTGTTTGGGACTATTTTACTGATCGAAATGACCACCCAAAGTTGACTGTTTGCACGAATCTTTATTCTTGAAAGGCAATCGACCACGAACCACAATTAATGACGAAAATAACGATTATTCTGACAGTCAATCAATCTATCAAACGATCGATCGTAAACTGAAACAACAATACAACGAAGTTCTATCAATCTAACGAAAAGCCGCGGAATACGTGATCAAAGAATCGCGTGTTAAATACTGGGTTCTAATGTCTATAACGAGATTAACAATACAAGTGAAACAGAACAAAAGTTTGGAAACAAATTAAAAGAGTTTTGATGACTGATAAACAGCCCATTGTTCTATCTAAATGATGGGCGTTCACTGACTCGCAAATTGGCACGAATTTGGCCTTTAAATCTTAAATCTATACAGATCATTGCAATATTTGTTTGTATATTGTCGCCCAACACTGAAAAGACTGGAAAGGAAAAAACAAAGTTACAAAGGTACTCACATATCGGTCCCGCTTGTGCCAGAGGTTGAGAAAACGAAAGGGCGAAAGTTTACCAAGGCTATTCAAAACTTACGACGAACTGATTAAAGGGACGCTAAATTTGCCTTTTATATGCGCGTGGTGACGCTGAAAGGTCCGATTACAAAACCAATAGAAATACAGAAAAACAGATAAGCATTGTAACTATGTGGCTATCTAAGATCATTCTGAAAATAGTGAAGTAATCAATTATCAATCAAAAAATGAGCCTTCTGGCTAATGTCCTTAACAACGTATTTCCATAAGGTAACATCCCAACAGGGGCCCACTCAAATACTGCCCTCTGGGTAAATGTTAACAGAGGCATGAAGTGTGCGTTGTCCCATCTTTGAGAGTATACCATACTAAGCAATGGTTCACATCAATAGCAGATGCGTTAGTTTTGATGAAATGAATGTAAAATGTTGCGTGAAAAAGATTTATTGTTTAACCCAACGACAGGGCGAGTCCTGCGCCCTGGACGACAAAACAATAAGGGTTACAACAAACCTTGGCAATTCCCTGCCACTCCACTGTATCCGGAGGCACAATTACACGCGTATGATCCGACGGTGTTGACACAGTTTTCATTAGCGGCGCAAGTGCCATTGTTTTCTGAGCACTCGTCACGATCTGTAAAGAGCGGTATGATAGAAATGTCGATCAGTTATGTTGAGAGTTGCTTTAATTGGAGTGCATCTTTAAGAATATGTAACCTGTTAAGTCTGCCAATTTGTTCCGCAATCCAATGTAATCTTCCTCACCCTTCGACCTTCTCAAACCTTTATGATCTATTTTTTACGTTTTGTTTGTGTCTTTCGTTTTGGTATCTGTCTTTCCTGGTATCTGCAGCTCCTAGTTTCTGGTTTTTAAGTTTTATCACTTACAAAAATAGACTTAGGCATTGAAACCTAGCTCTCTAGTGCTCACTATTCCTTTTCTATGCGGACGTCCATTTGCGTTTTATTCACAAGAAGTGCTCGACTGCATTTTGCTTTTACTTTTTACTAGATTTAGATCTCCATTTGGTCTATTTACAGACACAAAGTAATTTTCTTAAAGACAGAGGGAGAGATTTCGCAAGGAATAATATTTACCTGAACTTATTATGGACTTGAAGCAAGAGGAAGCCACCGACTTTGTATGACAGATCAAATACTTAAGGTAGATTAATATGATTACAAGAGCAAAAAACAAATTAATATCTCCTGGTTCCTTGGTTCTTACTGAGTGTACGTGTCCAATAGGAAAGGATGAGAAAAAATACCTGCGCATGTATGACCATCTCCAAAAAATCCCTGAACGCACCGACAAACGTAACTTCCTGGGGTGTTAGTGCATTCTGAATTCACGTGACAAGAATTTAACCCGTTACCACATTCATTGATATCTAGAACATGTATGGAGAAATTTCTGATAAATGATCCAACTTTAACTTGTGAATAACACCCACGCGCATTAAAGGAGTACATTTAATGTTCGATATACAGCGGGGATCCATAGTATTGCTATCCGATTGCTCTCAGAGTGCGTTGATGCCTGGACCAACCTCAAAATGGTATTATAAAAAGGCACTTGGTTTAAAAAAAGAACTTTAAATCTGCGATTGTGTCATTATGTAGCTAAAAGGAAAATCTTTTTTTTTTTCTAGGCTTCCTAGTTTACTATTTTAATACCAGTAACTAATATTAATCAATCGACAATATTGTAAAATCAAAGAATCAGTATAATCTGATTTGATTGATTTATGTTGAGTGAATAAAACCTTTTATTATCCAAATGTGCTTCATAGAGTACAAATAACGCGCGAGACGAGTACAAATATCACGCGATATACAAACTCGTTGTTTGTATTTTGACCAGCCCGTAGGGCTGGTCAAAATACGGCACAACTCGTAAAAATACTCAGCGATACCACAGAACAAAATATCTAATAAGATGTATGTTGTTGTTGCTAAAGTTTGGTAAGGACCGTCAACAGATGCTAACCTGCACACACATAGCCATCACCCTCGAATCCAGGATTGCATTCGCACAAAGGACGCGCACCAGTTTCCAGGCAGCTCGCGTTTGCACCACAAATTGGTACACATCCAGTGACCACAGCTGTAATATTTAGAAAATCAAGACTTGGTGATTACCCATACTTGATCACGACAATGAAAATTATCAAGGCAAAAATTCACCTGTACAATTCTTTCCATCTCCCTGGTATCCAGGTTTGCATCCACAGACATAGGATCCATTAGCATTGTTGCAAACAGCATTTGTATGGCAATCATTTGTGTCATCAGAGGCACACTCATCGATGTCTGAAAAGCAAGAGTGTAAGGCAAATTACCACTTGCTCATCTTCGGCCCTGAGACGTGTTGAACATAATTGCTGAGATTAAAATGGAACCAGCAAGGCATAATTCATATGTGGCGACGGCGGTGAGGCTAATTGATTTTTAAAGCACCGGTTTTAAAAATTTGGAAGTCCCTTGTTCAAATGCACAATTCATATTCCCAACTAAATTTGTTTCTGGGAATTTCCAGGTTGAACTCCTCTATTGTCCCTATTAGATATCGGCTTTATTCCCACAAAATCAAACCTTTTCCAAGCAATCTGAAGAAAATTAACCTCTTTTTTTTTTTTTAAATATCATACAGTGTCCCCAGTAGCTGCTAAAATAAAGATGTTTTGCTTAAAAGCCTTTTATCATCCCAATCAAATGTAGTATTCTCTGTGCCTATGCATGGTATATTGCATAGGTATTGTTTCCTTATCCTTCATAGTACTCTAGTATTGGTGTCATTTTTTTTTTCTCATGGCTGTGAAGTCCTTACCTGTGCAGTTTCTTCCATTGCCCCGATAGCCACTGAGACAGCGACAGATGTACGACCCGTCAGTGTTGTTACACAGCGCTTTGCGATCACAATCGTTCGTGTTAGGGTTTGCACACTCGTCAACATCTGCAAATAGAAGAAAATATTTGGTTTCACTCTCATCTTAGGAACGGAGCTACTGAGACAATAGTACTCTCCATATCTTACTAGCTTTGCTTTAGTGCATATATACCTTCCCAGCATAAAGTGTACCTTTCAGAAAATTGTTACTTTTTTTGTAGATGTATTAATTTTTTTTTTCTGCTTGACGAAGAAAGCATTCTATCCTTAAGTACCAAACAATGTTTATTCCACTATCTACTTATCACAACAAACAAGTTACCTTGACAATTTCCTGCCTCTCCAGCATACCCAGGGGCACAACTGCAGGAGAAAGAACCAACTGTGTTCACACATTTCTCATTGGCGCCACACGCATCTTTCTCTGCGCATTCATCAATATCTGTTAAAGGAGAAATAAGGAAGGATGACGGTTAGTGCAAGACAAGGAAAATACGCTTAAGTTACCTTAAGACCTCTCAATTCAGTGCATGAATTTTAAGTTCCGTCAATATATAACAAATAAATCCATTTTACAAAGTTCAATTGTATAGGTTTAATATAGTTCACCTTATAAATATTTTTACCTCGGCATGTCTGGCCATCACCATTAAAACCTTGTTTGCATCTGCACATATAACTTCCCAGGGTGTTAGAACAATTTCCATTAACATCGCAAGAGTTCTCGCCATTTTCGCATTCGTCGACGTCTGTACCAGAGAACAAAGAAAATATACCTTACATGATATCGCCTGCTGACAATTTCCAGTGGAAAGAACCCTTGTGCTTAAGTTGTTATGAGAATAATTGACAAGGATAGTTGACTGGCAGGATTGCTGTCTCATTTTAGGAATGAAATTCGTTCAAGGATGTTTTTAGTCGACCAAGTGTTCACGCTAGACAATGATAACCAATATTATCATCCTAACTTCAAATACAAGAGAGTCAATCTTTTTAGTTAAGCTGTCAAGAAAAATCATGAGGGCAGAAGACTTGCCATTGCAGATTCTACCATCTCCCTGATATCCACCACGACAGCTACAAAGGTAGGATCCATCGGTGTTGTTGCATAGTGCATTGGAATCACAGTCATTCATTTCAGGGCTCGAACACTCATTTATATCTGAAAAAGTTTTCAAAAGAATTCATCGGCATTACGATCTTTCTGTTGGATCCAGCTGTACAGAGGTTATATAGGCAGCAAACAATTATTTACATGCATAGAATGGTTTATACAAAATGGAGTAACTGCTGAGTCATACAGACAGTAGCTCAATAACATGGAAAATTACACGACTCGGGCAGTCAGAGGGCCAGTAACGAAAATCAACCAATCAAATGCTCTATTGCCGGTCAATATTCTCTCAGTATTGGACCGGGCACTTTCCCAAATGGTCCCGAATGATACCGGATTTGTGTCCCTTTGAACTTCAGTCGTATAATAAATCTCTTATTAACCAAGCTTGCTAGGGACCGTACTGGAAGAATATCGGCCCTCGGTCTTTTTTGTACGGACCTCGCTACGCTCGGTCCGTACTGTCAAGACCTCGGGCCGATATTCTCCCAGTACGGCCCTCGCGCTTGGTTAATAAGATATATATACAGAAGAGCACACTACGAAGAAAGAAAGTCAGACTAAGTGAAGGCGTTCTGAGATTTGCACAGCAACTCTTCTTTTGCAAATGTCTCAGAAGCAAATATTGCAGTTTTATAATCAAAGTACAACTTTTTTTTACCTTGACAATTGCCAGCTTCTCCTGTATACCCCGGGGAGCAGTTGCAGGTGTACGATCCAATCGTATTAACACAGTCTTCATTGGCTGCGCATGTGTCGTTCTTCTCGGCACACTCGTCACGATCTGCGAAAGTACAAGGACAAAGACGCGTCGGATGTGTGTTGCCAACTAAGTATCATGAATAGAGTATGTTAGATCAAAGTGGTAAATTACCATAAGCTAAATTCGACTTAATGCAGTTCATAAATAAAAAATGTGAAAGAAGCATTTACCTTTGCAATTCTTGCCATCACCCAGATATCCTACTAAACACCGGCACGTGTAAGAGCCCTCGGTGTTTGTGCACACGGCACTGGGATGACATCCGCTGGCCGCGGGATTTTCGCATTCATTAATATCTAAAATAGAAACCAAAAAGTATGTCGCCCACTGAATGGATGTGGCTAAAATGAAAGATGTCTTTAATAATAAGATAACCAAAGTAAAGCGCGTGCTCTGATTGGTCAATTCAGCGTCCACCATTTGCCCATGCGTGTACGCTGCTGACGTGAGCAAATGCAAAGACTAGTTTTCCACGCGCTTGTTTTTTCTGGTCACGTAAGATTTGTTGAATAGAAGAAAACCCAACCCACCAAAACTTGTGCGAGGGTAAAATGTTTACCTGTACAAGCTTTACCGTCGCCTTGGTATCCATCGAGACAACGACAAACAAACGACCCATCAGTGTTGTTACATGCTGCATTAGAGTGGCACTCATTTGTTTCAGGGCTCGCACATTCATTGATATCTACAATGAAGGACAAGCATTGAAAACTAGAGATGTAGAAGTACTTGTATACTGTACATTTCAAATTTGTAGATAACATTTTCTCACTTTTTGATGAGTGTCGCTACTTTTTTAAAATATCTGGATCGTGAGAAAAAGCGACAAGATACCTTAATACAAATGTTCAACCAGCAAGTATGCAAGTGTTAACCAGTACGGTTGGGTCCTAACGACCACCAATAGGGAGATGGCTTTGTTTTCAATGTCTTGAACACACGATCCTTCTAATTCAGGAGGAGGCATAAAGGGTGAATTTGTGGATGTCAACATGGCAGTCAGGTAGGTACCCTTGATGTGACACAAAGTGACCCCTCCCCATTGAAATATTGTTGCTACACCCCTGATCAGGACGAATATCATTCCCATGAGATCCAACGCAAGAACTTACATAAAGAGAGTGCGACAGTTTTACTTTTTCTAACGACAACAAAATAACGAATAAATAAGAAGTATAGATAGAGTGGTAAAGAAATCCTGTACCTGAACAATTTTTACCATCACCCTGATATCCACCAAGACATCGACAATTATACGAACCCTCTGTGTTTGAACATTGAGCTTTAATGTCACACTCATTTGTTTCCGCATTTCCACATTCGTTTATATCTGTTATTAGGAACAAGGACACGGACATTTAATAGCAACACTAGCACAAAAATAACTGGACTTTGGTACTAGACTGCATTTTTTGCGATCTTTACTAGGAATATTATGCAATCAATCAGTCTAATGGTCTTTTTGTCGGCGGTCGCTTTACGGCGTCAGTCCTACCATAAGGAACCTTCCGTGTTCGATTTTGACTTAAGAGTTTGCAATCGGTACTAACGTTAACCGTGACTTTCTGTTCAAACAGAGGTCTTGAGCAGAAAGTAGCTTGCTTGACAAAAGTCACGCCTAAATGTGCCAGGTTGTCATTTCGTTTGCAAAACTACCCTTTCTTGACACACAATTAAAGCTACAGGCACATAGTTTTTACCGGTGCAGTTTCTCCCATCGCCTCGATAACCACTAAGACAACGGCAGTTGTATGAACCTTCTGTGTTTGAACATAGAGCGTTACCATTGCATTCGTTCGTTTCAGGACTTGCACATTCATCAGTATCTGCAATCAATAAAAGTAAAGGTTGACGTGGAATTTCCAAATTAGAGGTAAATGTATTCTTATACACCCTATACCCTTGTAGGGCCAAATGTATAGTTCAGATTCTTTTAAGTAAGCAAAAATAAAGATATCTAAGTCGACAACACAACAATAAAACCAAAGTACGACTTAACCTGTGCAATTTCTACCGTCGCCTTCATATCCCCCAAAGCAGCGACAACTGTAAGATCCGTCAGCGTTGATACAAAGAGCATTGGAATCACATTCATTTCTGTCAGAACTTTCACAATCATCAATATCTACAAGCAGGAGATTTTAAAAAGCTGTTAAGTGCTACCCGAAGGGAAATACAAGCCTCAGGAGGGCAGATGTTACCGGCAAATGTTGTCTGCAGAACGCAATTTCGGTGTTACAAAGGGATTTCACATAGGCATAATCTATATTTAAAATTCTGATAGCAAGCTGGTTACCTTGACAGTTCCCTTCCCCACCAGTGTACCCAGGGGCGCAGCTACACGAATAGGATCCAATCGTGTTCACGCACACTTCATTGGCAATGCATGTATCATTCTCCGCACATTCGTCAACATCTATTTAAAAAAGTTTACTCATAAATTGGGGACGGGTGGCTGAGAGTAATTTACAAATAATGTGCTTACCCTTACGGCTTCAACCCGGCCATTTTTAACGAAAAAATGTTGGTATACCTTCACAAGTCCTGCCATCGCCATTAAAACCTGGCTTGCACTGACACACATAGCTTCCTTGGGTGTTGGAACACAGGGCATTGACATGACAAACGTTCTCTCCTTGTTCACATTCGTTTACATCTGTGGGAAAAAAGACATCCATTTATCCTCTTATAGCTTCCTGCCTGGTAGAAAGCGTGTTCCGGTGAAGGTCTTCTCCTAATGAGGAAGTAATGTAAGACTACAGAACGATAATTTACATGAAATAAAATAAGAATGTACATATTCCAACAAATGGCAATTAATTTCACCGAGTTTAGACAAACACGATTCTCCAATTGCTCTAAAGAAACTCAGTGCTAAAAAAAAAAAAAAAAATTGGCAGAGCAATCATTATGGGATTTACAGGCTTTTAAGATCAAAGAGATCAACTTCTTACTAACCGAGCACGTGGGCCGTACTGGGAAATAAGGCACGATGTAGTGACAGTACGGACTGAGCGCAGCAGGGTCCGTACAAAAACAATTGAAGGCAAGTATTCCCTCGTACGGCTCGAGTACGTAAGGTTGGTCAGTAGTTTATTAAATGGCATTTAGGCCAAACTTGTTCGTTTAAATTTCCGGCTTTCGCTTTTAAAATACACGGCTTACGACCGTTTCTGTGGAAACGATCCGTGTGGCAAATTATGGACCAATTAAGAACCCATTAAAGCACTTGGATTTACCTCAGGACTGTCTTTTCATGTAATAAAAGAAATAATCATTGTATAAGAATTGAACCTGTGCAATTGTAGCCATCCCCAGTGTATCCGTTTGAACATAAACAGTAAGGAAAGAAATCATCATCCACGCAGTCAGAATTATCGCCGCATATCGGATCACATCCTTGAACTAGGGCGAAAAAAAAACTAAATAATCGGAATCAAGGCATAGACACTGAAGTAAGAGAGAAAAAGCTCACTTGAACTTTGAGGTGTGACGGGGCAGTTTCCTAGATGATATTTTAAGACTACTTCTTTACATTCCGCCCTGCGTAGCAGAGCCAAAACAGACGCCAAAACAGACGCCACACAGGACCAGCGTGGAGCCACATTTCATCAGTCAATTTGGTAGTTTTACAAGCCTTTTGGATGTCAGTTACTATTCCCAATGCGCGATCTCACAGAGAAAATCAGTAACAACATATTTAAGTTAATTATTTCGACTGAACAGAACAAGGAATTGCAATTCTTCTTTGCAAGTTCCGGGTATTAAATTTATTCACCTTTACAACGTCTTCCGTCCCCAATGTATCCAGCGAGGCAGCGACAGATATAGGATCCTTCAGTGTTAGTGCACAACGCATTGGGGTCGCATTCGTTGGTATCGTTTGTAACACACTCGTCAATATCTACACAAAAATGCAGAAACCTGTAAGACTAGTGACAACACTTCCTGGCTAAATCCTAGTTCTTAACTTGCGGTAACCATAAATAAAGCGACAATGAATGACGTTTTACAGTTCTTACAGGATGTATGTCCACAAAATAAATGCTCAGCTTTTTTCATGGAACAGTATTATTGATGGAATAATGCTTTCAACAGAGAGTAGACTATCACCTGTGCAGTTCACGCCGTCTCCTTGGTAACCAACTAAACAGCGGCAAGAGTATGATCCGTTTGTGTTGGTGCACAGGGCATTACCTCCACAGTCATTTGACTCAGCAGCCACACATTCATCAATATCTGCGTTTCCAAATGATATCATCAGAAACGCTAGCAATGTCTGTGCGAGCAGTGGTTACTTGGTGATTTGTCCCGGCTTTAAGGAAGTTTTCAATTGAGTTTCGAAAAAAAACCAAAACCAAAGAAATCAAAACAGCCAATCGGATCGGAGGTCGTCATCATCGTTCGCCGATGAGAATTCAAGGCAAAAAGAGGAAAAGTACGTGAAACGCGGTAAAACGCGAGTGGTCAAATGGCGATAGGTTTTAGCTTTGAATCTGATTGGTTGAGAAGGAAACGAGAGTTTTCTGGACAACAAAGCGAAGTTTTACAAATTCAAAGCGTTACTGGATTGCTTCCGACACTCAATTGGAAACTGCCCTACACTGGTATACCCCGAATCGAAAGTTCTAGGATAAGACTCCTTCGTGTGTTATTGTTAGGGCAAGCCACTTAACTTTCATCGTACCTGACCCCACTAAGGAATATTGATAGGAACCCAGTACGTTGTCAAGAGAACTAAAAAAAGGTTTGGTAGGTTATATAACATGGACAAGTATCTCTCCCAGGGGAAGTACTTTATCATACTCTCAATCAGCTCATGCTGTGGAAGTCGAGGTCAAAGTAAAGATCTGTTAGATTAGTAAGATTTCTTACGCTTTAGGACTGATATATGACAACAACCGCCTGTACAATTAAGACATCCAATTAAAACCCCTCTATAAAACCACGTACATGTAGCTCTGTTACTGGTTTGACGCTAAAAACGGGAAGATAGGAACATTAAGAAGTATGATCGCACCTTCGCAAAATCTACCATCTCCCTCATATCCTCTAAGACAACGGCAGATGTAGAAACCTTCCGCATTTGTACAGAGAGCGTTGGAATCGCATTCGTTAAGATCAAGATTCTCGCATTCATTCAGATCTGCGCAACGGTAAAGAAAAATGACTCATTCATTGCAAAAAAAAAACATTGCATTTCAAATGACAAAAGAAGCGGCAAGGAGGCTAACAGGCAAACATAAAAATTGCCTAAGTCAAAAAGTGCCATAAAAATTTAATTTACCAGTACAGTTAAAACCGTCTCCCTGGAAACCAGCATTGCATACGCATTTAGAAAATCCATCGCTGTCCTGACAAAATGCGTTTGGACCGCAAGATGGAGAACAACCAGGTACTACGACTGAAATTTAAAATTGCAATGAACTCATTTAAACGAACTATCTTTATCTTGCTTTTATTTTGAACTGGATCTTATGAATCTAGCGGCCAAATTACACGCGGGAGCTTCTTACGAATTGTAAGGCACAGGGGATATGGAGTATTGCTGCATCCTAGTTCACTTCAAGCAGCCCTTTCGTAACTCTTTTCTTCTTCTCCAGCTTTCCCTCGACATTTTAAAGATACGCATCCATACTCTAGGGTGCAGAGGGGCGATGTATCATGCCAAGAAGAAACACGGAAGGACCCCGATAAGCCTCGGGACCAGACCTCTTGCCCCTACCCTTGCTAAAGGACCGCTACCGCGTCTCCTCCTAACCATGCACAGAATACACTTCTGATTAAAAATAATTATGATTAAAAATAATTCTGATTAAAAATAATTCTGATTAAAAATAATTCTGATTAAAAATAATTATGATAAAAAATAATTATAATTAAAAATAGGTTTTAACGCTTACAAATCCTTTAGCTTTGTTTTCACCTGTGCAATTTATACCATCGCCCTGATATCCACTGTTGCAGCGACAGACATACGATCCCTCAGTGTTGGTACACACAGCGTTGGGATCGCATTCATTTAATTCAGGATTGTTGCATTCGTCGATATCTAAAATTATATAAAAGTCCTTTTGAGCAGTCGTAAATAAACATGAATTGAACATCAGGAAAGAGATTTTTGACATATGATACACACGGCTAGCCTAAACTGGAGCATTCGTCGATCTAAAAAAAAGTAACATAAAACTGAATTCCATAATGGATATGATATGAACACCCTGGATCTACATGTACATTCATGGTGCAAGGTAGTTACTTTAGAGAGCAGTGGAGTCACACCCGTTATTTTCAGGGCTGGAACATTCGTCGATATGTAAAAAGAATAAATTTTATTACCAATGTGCAAAAATGGATATTCTATAAATACCTTAGATCTAAATTTATAGTGTAAAATAGTTAAAGGATGTTATACTGGCATTTTCAAAAACTTGTAGCATACTGAGTTCGAGGATGATGTTTTACAACAGCGTCTTTATAACTAAAGCATAACCTATTCCTAGCCTCGAAATAAGTAAAACAAACCTACAGTAAAATTTTTGTTTAGCGGTAGCGTTGACCCCAAGATTTGAGAAGATTATTACCTGTACAGTTGAGGCCATCTCCCATATAACCTTTGACACAACGGCAGATGTAAGACCCGTCGGTGTTAGTACAAATAGCTTTGGGGTCACACTGATTTGAGTCCGGACTTTTACATTCGTCAGTATCTAAAATGCAAAAAATGTTTAACCAAAAGGAATCCACGCATATTGGTAGAGAGAAGATCATGGAAATAAGCCCTTAAACTGATAACTTTACCTGTGCAATTCACACCGTCTCCAAAAAATCCCCTTTTACAACGACAGACATAGGATCCTTCAGTGTTGGTGCAAATGGCGTTAGAGTTACATTCATTTGATTCTGGACTTGCACACTCGTCAGTATCTTTAAGTGAATGACATTGATAAACACAAATTGACAGTGTTAAGACAAAAAGAAAACGACTTGCTTTTGTCGCTTCAGCATAATGAGTCCTATGAATCCTAATAGCGTGGTGGTGTCTGCGGATGTTGTCATAGCCTCATGTCTGCACACTAGTTGGTCACTATCCAGTTGTCAGACGAGGCTGTTCAGGTCTTCTCATCCGATAACTCAATGAATAAGTTTTTGGAAATCGATAAAAATTTACCATCTTTCTTCTTCTATTTACAAAATTGGTCTTGTAGAGGTGGATGTCTATTGAGTCTAGTAATTTAGCTTTTAAACTCTGAGGGAGACTTTTCGCATAATGCTTTTAAATTATGAGCGCTGAATATTTGAGTCAATCCCAGGTGATCGCTATTATTTTTAACAGTGAAAAGTTGATACACATCTCAACTCGCAGGTGATCTCCCAGTTAGCCACACACAAATGAGAGGCGTCCTTATTTACATGATCGTTACATTTTGGCCCGAAAGGTTGATAAGTTTAGGAGTTCGTAAACACAGAGTACTAAAATTTAGGCTAATAGTTTCGAAAGAAACTGTTTGGGGCTGCGTCGGTGGGAGTAACGAAATAATTTGGATATATCAACAAAGTTGAAGTGGTAAATTGGCCACCGTAACGATTACAAAAGCTGACGTTTCGAGCGTTAGCCCTTCGCTCCGACGAAGGGCTAACGCTCGAAACGTCAGCTTTTGTAATCGTTACGGTGGCCAATTTACCACTTCAACTTTGTTGATATATACTAAAATTTAGGATAATTGAGTTCAAAATCTAAAAAAAAAAATTCTGTAACATGCTGTCCCTGAATACCTGTGCAGTTTCTTCCGTCACCCACATAGCCTTTACGACATCGACAGACATAGGATCCTTCAGTGTTGGTACATATGGCGTTGGTATCACACTCATTTGACTGAGGAGTCACACATTCATCGACATCTGTTGACAAAGGACACTGTTTTTATTTTCATAACAAAGCTAAGTTAAGCATACCTCCGAAAAAAGCTACTCCACCATCTTTCTATTACGAGCAAAATCCTCCCTTACAACAACACACATATAATCCCATCGATAAGTCATGATCTGTTTACTATCTGAGTACCGTTCACCTGTACAGTTTTTTCCATCTCCAATATATCCTCTCTGACATCGACAAGTATAGGATCCATCTGCGTTGATGCATAAGGCGCCTGGATCACACTGGTTTGCTTCAGTAGAATTACACTCGTCGACGTCTATTTTAGTAAAAAGATTAAGTTTGGGGGATCGTTGGATAAGAGGTTCTTGAAGTTACAGTAAGTAATGATTTCAATGATTAACACCCTAACATACCTATGCAAAACCGCCCGTCACCCCTGTAACCTTGAAAACAGCGACAAACGTAAGATCCTTCTGTGTTGGTGCAGAGGGCATTGACGTCACACTTGTTGTCATCGTTACGTGCACATTCATTTATGTCTGAAAAAAATACATGAAAATAAATGTTGATGGCAACTTATGGTTAATTACAAACCTCTGGCTCTACCAAATTGTAGAAGAGGGGAAATTACATAATAATGAATGCTGTTGGGGTCAAGCTTTATAAACGCCAATACCTGTACAGTTATTATCTTCACCGGTAAAACCATCCAAACATATGCATTCAGCAACTCTACCGCTGGTTTTACACACTGCGTTTTTACTGCACGGCGGATCACAAACTATCTCTTCAATTTCTGCAAAAATAAAAATGTCTTTCAAATCAAACAAGAAAGTTTCCACCCTAGAGATAATTTCTGCAATAATTCGCTATCCCTTGAATACAAATGAACTCCATGAAATTATTTTGCAATACCTGTGCAGTTTTTGCCATCTCCCTTATATCCTCTTAGGCAACGACAGACGTAGGATCCTTCAGTGTTGGTACAAAGAGCGTTGGGGTCACATTCGTTGGTGTCAGGATCCCCACATTCATCAATATCTAGACATACGAAAAATCTTTTTCAAATAAAAGATTCCAATAAGCCATTGCTTCACATTTTCTAACATTCTAAATCTATCTCTACATAGGTCTTATTTTCTCTCCATCTTTTACTCTTCAGGCGAGTAAACAATTAGAGATTTACACACACGTCCAAGTGGCCCACTCCAGTAAAGCTCTTCCCAAGTTTACAGAGCATAAAAGTATTGCTATTCTTGATGCATGGGATGCTTGTGAACCGCAATTAATCCACTGCCACCTTCCACACCTACTCCCTACCATATTACAGGGTATCTCTGCACAATTCATCTATTGATCTTTTGTGCTCCTTGGGGGAAGAACTGCGATTTTCCGACAGAGGGTCCAGCACTGATCATCAGAAACAAAGTCTAATTCCTCGCAATAGCTCTTTAATATAGCACCACGGCTCCTTCATTGATTCACATACACGTACTATTGTACATTTCGAGCAGATTACTTTACCTGAACAGTTTCTTCCGTCTCCAGTAAACCCCCTGACACAACTACAGACGTAAGAACCCTCGATGTTAGTGCACAAGGCGTTGGGATCACATTCGTTTCTTTCGGGAATTGTACACTCATCAATGTCTAAGAACAAAGAAAATAAGTCTAAATCGAATTTCTCACAACTATTACCTCAAAGTTTGAACAACGCGATTTCTTTACATATACCATAATATCACGTGTTCACTTTTGAGAATCATAAGGCCAAGAATATTGCGCGTTCCACTCTTCTTGAGACAAGATTTACCTGTGCAATTTTTCCCATCACCACTATACCCTCTTAGACAGCGGCAGACATAAGAACCTCCAGTATTAGTGCAAAGTGCGTTGGAATGACAGTCGTTATTCTCAGGACTTGCGCACTCATCAACATCTGCAGCGATTAAACAAAAAGCGGGAACAAACTCAATTCAAGAAGTCAAGTTGATCACACAAAAGTGATTGAGTGACACCCGTCTTTACCTTTGCATTCTCTGCCATCACCTTCGTAGCCCCGCAGACAGCGACAGACGTACGAACCGTCGATGTTCGTACACAGGGCGTTACGATCACAGTTATTTTCAATTTCATTTGCACATTCATCAATGTCTAAAAAGATAATGAAAAAATCATACAATGCACTGGCATTAAAGAGAGTTTATTCAAATCAGATTGTACCTTCACAGTCTCCTTCACCAGTGTAACCTTCCTGGCATGTACAATCAGGAACTCCACTGCTATTCTGACAAAATGCGTTCCTCCCACATGGTGGGTCACAAACCAACAACTCAGAAGCTGGAAACAAATGTTGAAGGTCCTTAAGTCCATTGCCAGGGTAAGGCAGAATCAAAGTCCTAGACAACCATGCGTAACCTTGATGTATGGGTCGTTAGACGATCAATGCATCAACCAAAGTTATGAATAGACCACTAGATCCGAGATCTTAACTCAGTTTAGCTTTGAAAAAATAAAAATTTGTTGTTCTTACAGAATATTTACCCCAATTCGGTTGTTCGAGGTAACTTAGTTGTTATCAGTACCTGTGCAATTTCTGCCGTCCCCTTCATATCCTTTGAAACAGCGACAGACAAAGGATCCTTCAGTGTTCGTACACAGAGCGTTGGAGTCACACTCGTTGGTTTCAACATTCGCACATTCGTCAACATCTACAACATCATAAGCGAGGATTGCTTCAAATTCTTACGTTATACCACGATAGCCCAAAGATAAATAGTAGCCAATTTTGACCAGAGAGTGTCTTATGTTTGGCAAACAGTTTCAAACGCCCTAAGGTAGGCCCCCCACCTATACGTATCAGTAGACGTCGTGAGTATCCAACTGCAAACAGATATTTTGTTACAGTTTCAAGCTCCATTCAGTTGCATGAGTCCTCTCCCCAATACATAATATATCAGCACAAATCAGACTAAGCCAACAGTGTACATTGTACCTGTACAACTCGTGCCATCTCCCCTATAACCTCTAAGACAGCGGCAAACATAGGAGCCCTCAGTGTTAGTGCACAAGGCGTTCAAATGGCAATTGTTTGTTTCAGAATTCTCGCATTCATCGGAATCTGTAACGGTAAATCCACAAAATAAAAACGTGATGCTTTTATTTTAATTGGACAAAGCAATTAAACTTCAATAAATAATCTGTGGCCAAGAAAAAATATTCACCAGAGCAAGATCTTCCATCGCCTTCGTAACCTCGGAGACAGCGACAGACGTAAGAGCCTTCAGAATTGGTACACAAAGCATTGGCATCACATCCATTTAATTCAGGCCTTGTACACTCGTCAGTATCTGCCGGTGATATCGTAAAAAGGGTCGCGTAAGTTAACATTTCATCGGAAACAGTTTGAGTAGTTTAGATTAATATGTTCGTCAAATTTTTGAAACGGTGTACTATAATGTTAAGCAAATCAAAAAAACATGATAAATCAAGATAATAGCCAAGCATGTTCAATGGTTTTTTTTTTTCAAGTCCCCGGATAGAGAGCTCCCTCAGCCTATGTCAGAAGATCTTCCTGCATGAAATGCGTTTTTTTTTTTAAGTTTAGCAACACAGTAACAATATTATAACCGACCAGTACAGTTCAGTCCATCTCCCTCATATCCTTGAATACAGCGGCAGACGTAAGATCCCTCAGTGTTGGTGCATAGGGCATTGGGGTCACAATCGTTACCATCAGTAGTTGCACATTCATCTACATCTGTTGCCAAGAAAAAAATTAAATGATTTATCAGTTACTCTGAGGGCTATAGTTCGGCAAGGACCGACTGTACAGTTGAACAGGTGGCACAAAATCGATAGGCTAGCTTCACTTACCGGGTCAAGTGATTGGGGATTGGATTCAATACTTGAAAAATAATTCAAAACAACTATAACAAAATATACCTATACAACGTTCGCCATCCCCTTCGTACCCTCTAAGACAGCGACATACATAAGATCCCTCGGTGTTGGTGCAAAAGGAAAGAGGGCCACAGTCGTTACTATCTGCACTAACACATTCATCGATATCTATTCCAAAGCGAAGAAAGATCAGAAAATTTAATCATTAAGTCACTAAAAAAGAATGATATACAACGTAACTTGCCAAGGTTTAAACAGATTATGTAGATATAAATAAGATTATTAAAAACTAGATTATTGGATAATGCAATTCAAGACTTTTTATTGGCTTAGCCATTATGGTATATCAGCCAATATACCATAATCTACAAATATGGGAAGCGTACGTGTCAGCTTAAAATTAAAAGGGAGTTAAAAATTCAATAAAATTTAATAATTTAACTTCACGTTTTTAATAAAACAATTATTCCACTCGCGCTTGTTGGATATGAGATAATTATAGCCAACTCGGCGCTACGCGCCTCGTTGGCTATCTATCATCTCATATCCAACGCGCGCTCGTGGAATAATTGTTAATTATACCATGTTAATAGTTTCCAATGTTCTGTATGTATCTCATCTTATGTACGCAACTAACCATACTTTCATTTTTTAAGCTAAAAAATATTTCGCTTGTACTTCAAATACACTTTGTCCTTTTTGTTTGTGTATCGAACTCGAATGTAATTATGTTACTAAAAGTCTTTTCTGGTTATAGTTTTACGGAGATATAGCGTAGGGTTTACCTGTGCAATTATCTTCTCCTGTAAAACCATCTACACACACGCATTCGGCTACGCCAGTAAAATTCTGACAAACTTTATTCTCACCACAAGGTGGGTCGCAAGAAAACTCTTCTGCAGTAGGGTAATAAGAAAATTCATTACACAATAGGAATACGAAAAATACGTTAACTCAGTATAAGTGCGTTGTACTTGCAAATTAACCCTAAACTAAAAAAAAGAAGATAAACACTTTCTTCATAATTCACTCTACTATTTCCAACAAACAGATAGCGAAAAGAGAAGAGGGAACTTTGTAAACGACTGCTGATAACGAAGAGGTACAGCGGCTAGATGAGTCGCTAATCAGATCGTTAACGTTACAATAAAAGATTAAGGTGAGTACCCTACCTGTACAAGTTTTACCATCTCCTTTGAAACCCTTGAAGCAGCGACACACATATGATCCTTTCGTGTTGGTGCACAAAGCGTTGGGATCGCAATCGTTATTCGCAGCACCTCCGCATTCATCTACGTCTATATGCAGAGAAAAAAATACTTTAAATACCCAGAATTGTTAACGCATCAGGTATGCTTATGTTGACAAGATCAGAGGGGCGTCGTTGAGCAGATCACTAGTTATCTCACAATAGCATGCGATCGGCGCCTTGAGATAAATAACAAAACTTCATCTCTCTTTTTTAATGGAACCGACGCATTGAGTTCATTTTGAAACCAATGCTGAGGCCTTTATTATTTATCACCTCGGTTTTCCCACCAATTGAAAGTCGAAGAGCGTTTGTATAATTGTTGTCCTTCCACTGAGGAACTTTGATAAACTAAAGTTTCCAAAGAAATATCTAAAGAAATTTTTTGTCGTCTTAATTGGTACCTGTGCATGTCCTTCCATCCCCTGCATAGCCCTTTAAACAGCGGCATATATACGAGCCGTCTGTGTTGGTGCACAAAGAGGTTGGGTCACATGCGTTGGTTGCCGGTGAAGCACACTCATCCTCATCTAGAGAAAACCAATAAAAAGAAAACTTTACTTAGCTTTAAGATGATTTGTCGGACATGCATTGATATCAGAAACCAACAATTTTTGAGTGTTAACGTGTAAGCCATTTTTCAGAATTTCCTCAGCTCATCTGAGGTCTACTGATTGCTTAAAGTGTTGGGACAGTATACTATACTAGTATACTATACTAGACAGCGAACAAGTTCTCCCTCGGACTGCAGTTCGGCTGACGAAGTCGCGTAAGACGAGGTGAATATTGAAGCAATCAGGATTGCGACTTTTTGTTTAACAATCACTTCATTAAGCAGCAAACGTCTTTTAGACACGTGTTTTACATGAACTGACCAGAAATTAATAATTACCGAAGTTGATCTTATGTTCCGAATTCTCAGTTTACTCACTCTTGAGCTAATGAAGTCGAAATTCTCTTCTTGACTCATACCTGAGCAATTGTATCCGTCACCTTTGAAACCAATATTACAGACACATTCTCCTCCCTGACACAGGGCGTTTAGCCCACAAGATGGAGAACAGGTTGGTACAATGGCTGAGTATGAAATAAATATCGAGTTATCGTAAGGATCAAATACTCAATAATAAAACGGTTAGAGGATAAAGGTGTACGTACCTGTGCAGTTTTTTCCATCTCCTTCATATCCTCTCAAACAGCGACAAACGTAAGATCCTTCTGTGTTAGTACAAAGGGCGTTTGGATGACACTCGTTGTTGTCTTCATCAATACATTCGTCGGCGTCTGTAAATTGGTAAATGGCGTTATTTTGGGTAAAAAAGAGAAATTATGGAATCTCACAAATGAAACCATCCTCTAACTTGATATTTTGCTGACCTGAGCAATTTCTTCCATCTCCATTATAGCCTTTTAGACAGCGACAGACATAGGAGCCTTCAGTGTTAGTACAAAGAGACTTCGGACTACAATCGTTTTGATCTTTGTTGGCGCATTCGTCGACATCTGGAAATGGAATAACGACTATAAAGGCCAAAGGGATAACTACCACTAAAATATACTTTGGGCAAAGTGTGTGGTCATAGATTTATACCTGTACAGGTTCTTCCATCTCCGATGTAGCCCCTTAAACAGCGGCAAATGTGAGAACCCTCAGTGTTTGTGCACAGGGCGTTCACGTCACAGCTATTTAAATTAAAACTTGTACACTCGTCAACGTCTAAAGGGAGAAACAAAGTCAATTTAATCACGTAAAAACCTTATTCAGTTGATAAGAAAAGAAGGAGAACACGAACGCTATGATGTTTGTTGTTTCTGAAAAAAGAACAAAAAAAAAAAAAACAATGCTGTTAATGGAGTTGTGCCGGAGTCTTTTATTAATAAACCAATCTACATCGTATGATAGTTTGGCATATAATCTAAACACAAGAAAACAAAAACGACGAAGGTATCAGAAGGTGTTTCCACTATTGATACTTGACAAGGTGGCATTGCAATGAGACTGGTCTGCAACTGACGGTCTGAAAGAAGTCGGTTGTCGAGATCCCGCCGGAATTTTTTCTAATTGCACTGAAACTTATCAACTCGTAAATTTTGGGTACGTAGTTCTTCCGAAACCTAATCAAAGGTGCAATTCTTAGGAAATAAAGCGGTACAAAGAACGTTATTATCTTCTCAGCAATATTAGAAACTTACCACTGCAGTTATATCCGTCACCCAAGTAACCAGCTTTACAATCACAGAAAGAAAATTCACCACTTTCTTGACAAAAGGCATTTGTGCCACATGACGGAGAACAGCCAGGAGTTACTGCTAAAATATATGCAAATGTATGCGGTAAACAAGATGCTTAAAGAGTAACCAACGATGGATTCACTCTGTGACACAAACACCACGAACCTGTGCAATTTCTGCCGTCCCCTTCATATCCCCTTAGACAGCGACATACGTAAGACCCTTCAGTGTTAGTGCAAAGAGCGTTTGGATCACACTCATTTCGGTCCTTATCGGCACATTCATCGATATCTAGGATAGCAACGACACTTCAGAATTAAACCGTGATTTGAAGGGGTGTTTCATTCCTGGCTTTATTTTGTGCTGATATCTTGGTTGCCTTCTTGGCAGTAGTATAGTGATATACCATAATTATCACAACAAGTAGTTAACTAGGTGTAGATAGTTATTTAAGACCTTTCGTCTAGGTACTTGAGTAGTTGAAAATTAGCGAGCAAAAGGAAAGGACTCCATTAAACATAGGCGCAAACTTGCTTTTTCGAAAGGATAACAAATGATCTTGTCTGCACGATTCCAGTGAAGCAAAGTCAAAAATTACTTTTGGAAGGAGTTGTATAACGGTTTGGACATCATTTTTGAAATACATAATTTGAATTGATTCAAACGGCTGCTTTTTTTGTCATTGGTGTATTCTCTATGCGTTGATCTATCTCACCAACCCAAAATTTAGAAGTCGTCTTCAGGTTTGAGGCTAATCAGCACTTCACAGATAAATAACGCAAAATACCGCTACAAAGCTCTTTCAAGTTGCTGGGTATCATTTACGTATTACTGTATGTGCGCTTTGGCTAGTCCAGTTTACCTGTGCAAAAGTCTTCCCCGCTGAAGCCATCTGCACACACACATTCTGGAAATCCTATGTAATTTTGACAAACTTTCTTTCCGGTACAGGGTGGATCGCAAACAATATCTTCTATCTCTGTATGAAGAAATGTTTTTCATCAATTATACTTATCAAAAAAACAGTGCTTATTTAAAAAAATCAATGTTATTTCAACGGTTTTGTAATTTTCTTTTGTTCAAAAATAGTCATTAGGTTTAGTATAAATGAAACAAAGAATAACGAAGAGAGGACAATGTCTTACCTTCACATATTTTACCATCTCCGCTAAAACCTCTAAAGCAGCGACACACGTACGAGCCTTCGGTATTAGTACACAGTGCATTTGTGTCGCAGTCGTTGTTTCCAGGTCGTTTACACTCGTCAATATCTGGGAAGGATGACAAAAACGAACTGAAGCGGCCATACAAGCATGGAAATTATTTCCCGTTTCCTATCAAAATTATGAAAAAGACGTTGAGTTAAACCGACTCATTTACCTGCACAGTTTCTTCCATCACCCTCGTATCCTCTTAGACAGCGGCACAGATAAGATCCCTCTGTGTTGGTGCACAGGGCGCTTGAATGACAACCGCTCACGGCTTCAGAAAGCAAACATTCATCAATATCTGTGATAAAGAAGAAAACAAGAGACGTAGAAGGTTCTTAGTTCCAAAAATACTTTTTACCTTTCCTTACATAAAATATTATCAAAGTAACACTTTCAAGGCAATCTACCAACGCTCATGACATTGTGTCTCCAAATTCTTTTAAAAAGTATGTTCGATATTAATCATGAAAATTTGAAACCTAGGTATGAATGTTGAACAAAAGACTTGTATTTTTCCGGGGGCAGGAGAAATTCTACATAGGTAGAACTGAAAAGAACGAAACGGCAAACCTGTGCAATTGTAGCCGTCGCCTTGGTAACCAGCATTACACTCACAGTAAGAAAGTCCATCAGGTTCCTGGCAAAAAGCATTCGGACCACATGAAGGAGAACAGCCGGGAACGACGGCTAAAAAAGGAAAAGGACTACGAATCAACAAAAATTTATGGAACTAGTGATGGACGTACAAACGAACAGAACAGTCGCAAATGCGGAAACAACATCAACGATAAACTTAAAACGAGTACCTGTGCAATTTCTTCCATCTCCTTGATATCCTCTCAAACAGCGGCAAACATAAGATCCTTCAGTGTTAGTACATAGAGCGTTGAGATGGCACTCGTTTTTCTCTTCTTCGGTGCATTCGTTTACGTCTAAGATTGGACAAAATATTGTAAAACTTACAAATCAAACGCAATACAGAGAATATCTGGCTTTAAAAAATCAAATTTGGATATCATATCTACAGCATATCTCAAAGGACTGAACCGCACATATTCTTCAAAAATCCCTTCTACCTTTGAATCCATTTTTTTATTCAAAGAGTAACGATTTTGAGTCACCCAGTAACAAAATAGAGGTGTATGATCGGGTATGAGATGTGCTCTAAAAAACGTTTCTCCCAATTATATAATTACCAAGCTTTTGTTGGATTTACCCTTCTTCCAGCCATCCATAATAATCCAAAAATTAAAGTTCTACAAACTACTGATCTTAAAAAATTTTAGACAATCATACAGCGTTTTGAGTATTCGTTTTCAAGATAGACAATCCAAAGGTCTACTTTTTACACGAACCTGTGCAAACGTATCCGTCACCTTGGTAGCCAAATTTACAAACACACGTAGGAGACCCGTCAGCTGCTTCACAAACCGCATTTTTCCCACAAGGTGGCGAACAGGTAGTTGTAACGGCTAGAAAAGTAGTAAGTGAAGTTACACATGTAAGAAAAATAATAATGCTAATAATGGCGAATAAATATGATACTAGTACCAATAACGATAATCTGAGTAATATTAACAACAACAACTATACAATACAATACTACAATAATATCAGTAACGATGACAAAATAGTTCAGGAACTGATACAGATATTAATTAAATAGAAACATCAGTCTTTTTCATATAGCCCACTAAAGTCGGGGTAATGAGTGTCAACTGTTCTATTAAGCATTAAGTGACTGATTGTATTGTTACTTATGCAGGTGATGCTAATCCATCGTACGGTGCCCCTGCGATGGACTAGTATCACCTACGCCCTACGATGGCGAGGTTACCAAGACACTTCGCCAATATCCATTCAAGATCTTTTTTTTCATAGGGGAGGGCGGGGGAAGGAAAGTGCGAGAAACATCTGTAAGAGTAGAGTAGCATGCCCAAAATCCAACACAATTACTATACGATCAGGGCTCTAACCCAGACTTCTCGACCTAGAGTCCAGCGAAGCCACCATTTGAACTACCGTTACCTGTACAGTTTCTTCCGTCACCCATGAAACCCTTGACGCAGCGGCAGACGTAGGAGCCTTCAGTGTTGGTGCAGATCGCATTCGGGTCACAGTCATTAACATTCGTGCATTCATCAAGGTCTAAAGTGATCAAAGGTTCGTAATAATGTTAGATAGCAAAAGCAAACAATCAAATGATACACAAGAAAAAAAAAATAGTATAACTCCAGCTTATGTACCTGAGCAGTTTTTACCGTCACCAACGTAGCCTCTTCTACATCGACATAAATAGGATCCTTCAGTATTGGTACATAAGGCGTTGGAATTACATTCATTACTGTCTTCATTACTGCACTCGTTGATGTCTGTAGAAATCACAACTATTAGCAATTGTTATTATAACATAACCAAAGTAAAGCGCGCGCTCTGATTGGTCAATTTATCGTCCC